ATGTTGCCTTGGAAGCTTGTTTACCGAGCCATTGTCTAGCAGTGGATGTCTCCTCTGGCTCCACTCTTCCAGCCTTCAGGTGTCATGACACCGTAGTGACAAGAAGTAGTGGAACCATCAATTTCTTAATGCTACATCACATAAAATGAGAGATTCTTTCTCATGTCTTAATCATAACAAGTAATTTGTAACTAGCTGCCACTGTTTTCACATAACTTTTGCACCAACTGTATTTGCAGTTTTACTTCAAAGTTATTATGACTATGAGTCCATAAAGATACTGTTAGCCCCCCCCAAATAAAAAAATATGAACTCTCGTAATATTGACGGGTACACGGTAGCATAGTTGGTTGAGATACTGTGCTACAAGCTGGAAGGGTGTGGGTTCGAGTCCCAATGAGGTGGATATTTTCAATCTACCTAATCCTTCCAGCCGCACTATGGCACTGGTTTCGACTCAGCCTCTAACAGAAATGAGTACCAGGAATCTTCCAAGGGGGTAATGGGCATCAAGCATGTAAAGCTGACAACCTTACCGCCATCTGTGAGCCGACTGTCTAGAAGATGTGCGAGCCTCGACCTCTTACAACCGTATGGGCCTCCACAGCCTCTTACAAGGGTAACTTTACCTTACCTTGTAATATTGAGGTTGCACTTTACTTCATCCTTGGCCAATCCATGAGTGGAAAATGGTTGTTCAACCAATTATACACTTGGTATGGAAAGTGGAGAGGGAAGGGCACCATTGTGCTTGTTGGTGAGCCATGAGTGAGTACAGTATTATCTCTGTCTTTGACATTATGAAGTTTCAACCACAACACAAAAAAAAAGTCAGGATTGAAAGTTTGAGATACCTGAAACTTTGAAACAGTGGTGAATTGTACAAGTACTTGTTTACATTTTCTTCTCCAAATTACTGACTTATCAGTTCTCTGAAGCTTAGCCACAGGACTTTGAATCACCCTGTTTGATAACTCTTTTGTCTGTTTCCTAATTCTTCAAAGGCATTGTGCCATTTACTCTGTACTGTTGCCAGTATTTATGGTGAAAATAGCTTTCTGAAGCTTTCTTTTTGAGAACTACTTTACTTTCTAATTTTTTTAGTACTATGCACAAGGAAAGCAACCATGTCCTGGGCAAAGAACAGGTACTTGGCTTGTTTATTGTAAAGGAAATTACGTTTTGAAAAAACATTTTAAATTCATTGCCTCTTAAGTTGAATACATTTATAAGAGTGTCAAGGAAATATATACAGTGGGGGTTTTATGATATTACAGCATTTAATGTTATCATGTAGTGATTAACATTCCAGCATCATGGTTGGGCAGTTTCAGATTTGACTCTCAGCTTCGAGGCTAACTTTGAGTGGATTTCATTAATTCCTTCAGACAGATGCTGGTATGGTTTCTTGAGATAGGCCATGACAACATCTTGCCATATCCTTATCTACTCATTATTAAAAAATTACCTTATTACCCTATTCCAATCTGCGTAATCTCTGCAGCATCTTTAAATAACCTAAGAACTAATCAGTCAATCGTAGCCTCCTGAAAGTGACACTATGTGGTCTAGTGTATGAGGATGGTTCATATTTGACCCAGCGCTTTTAGAAGCCATCTTGTGCTCTCTTCTTGAAAGCAAAGGTTCTCATAAATGATTCTCTCCATACGGTGATAGAAATTCAGTGGTTGTCAAGAATAAGCCTCTTGCTTTTATTGATTTTTCTGCCATTGGTGCCTGTGGCTGTTGGGCTGTTGGGTAGATTGCTTTGCTTAGTGTATCATGGTGGTCTTTGATTGCAGTACACCACTCGTACATCTGTACCTTTAACAATGCATCATTCCTGAACTGTACTCAGTCTTCAGTGAATATCAGCCAGTATCAAGCCTTCTGACATCAAAAACATAGTTATATATTGTTGCTCCACTCTTACTAACTTCTGTGGTTCCCAGCTTGCACTGTAACTAAGCACATTAGCACAAGTGCAGTTAAGGAGTGGAGAAGGGACATGTGAAGTGAGTGCAAAAATTACACCAGTCCACCCTGTTCTTTATGAGAAACAGTGAAAATTTGAACCATGTATGTAAGACCGTTTTGAAACACCAACATCTCATTCTTGAGACCAGCTTTCTGAACTTTTTTTTTTCTGTTTTCAAGCGGAGCACGACCACTTCAAGTCTCCACATATATGCCAAGAATATTTGTCACATTGGATGTGTTTCACAGCATGAAGCATATTGTCACACAGTTTATTCATGTAAGTGGCATGTGCTGTTGGAACTGAAGGGACGTTTGTTTCCATTATGGAGCAAGTCATCTTTGGTAAATCAATAAGTAGACCCCATTTGTTTGGATCATGATGTTGGCCAAGAATTTCCATGAGGTCACATTATTACAGCACACTAAATTGCCTCTCTGAGGAAGAAATGAATAAAAAGTCTTTTTAACTCGTGTGGAACGGAGATATCTTAGAACTATTTTCTAGAAGATTCCATTCTTCTGTCTAAAGTCCAAAATTTAAATTGTTTTTTGACAAATTGAGGTCACAGACAAAATCTGTCATGTCTGTTTGAGATATTAAATGAGGCTCTGTGAAACTTGGTCTCTGACATTAAAGGAGGTACGTAGAGTGAGGGTGTTTAAGAACAGGATGCTGAGGAGAATATTTGGACCGAAGAGAGATGAAATGACAGGAGTTTTGAGAAAACTGCATAATGAGGACCTTCATAACTTGTACTCTTCTCCAAGTGTAATTAGAATGGTGAAATCAAGGAGGATGTGATGGGCTGGGCATGTAGCATAAATGGGGGGGGGGAAGATGAATGCACATAGGATATAGTTGTGAAAGCCAGAAGGAAAGAGACCACTGAGAAGACCAAGACATAGGTGGGTGGACAATATTAAAATGGCTCTTAGAGAGAGAGGATGGGACAGTATGAATTGGATTGATCTGACTCGGGATAGGGACCAGTGGAGGGCTCTTGTGAACATGGTAATGAACGTTCTGGTTCCATAAAATGCTGGGAACTTCTTGAGTAGCTGCACAATTGGCAGCTTCTCAAGAAGGGCTCAGTTCCATGATTGAATGATTGATCTTCTGGTGAACAAGGTTGTTCAGGTTGCTAGATATTAAGAAAATCATAAATATTAAATCATGGTTCAGTGAGTGAAATCAGGTGAATAACTGACAAATGGAACTGAGCATGTAAGCTGTTTGACAAAATTGAAAAAGTTTGGACACGTGTTAAACATGAACATGAAAGCAGTGATTCTCATAACATTACAAGCCCTTTCCCTTTCCTTTTGTAATGTAAATCCTAAATTGTCTACATTCGTGTGTCACTCAAAAGCTGTGGGTGATAGGAATTTTTTTTCGTTTTTGTAAACAGCATTAGAGGGAGTACACATAGATGAGCTCAGAATATTTGTGTGACTGAAACCTTTTTGAACAGTGTTAGTTTAAAAAATAATTTGATATTATTAATCACATAATTGTAATTATTAATGTGGAAAGTTCTTTTAGCNGTCATAAAAGTAATCCGGTTTCTTTATTGCCACACCTTGTATGTGAAAGAAATAATTTTATCATTACTGCTTTATAAGAAGATAAACAGTTTCTTGATGTAATTCTGTATAAAAAAAAGTTAAAGATGTTCCTATAGCAGGCCATGGAGACCCATAGGGTTGTGAGATATCAAGGCTCCCACATTTTCTAGACAGCCTGCTCACAGATGGCAGTGAGGTTGTCCTCCTTACTACTGGCCACATAGTTTCTTTAATTTTTTGTTAGCAGTTTTTCTGTTCTTATTTTCAACTTGCAGTGTTTAACATTAACAGAATATATATTCTGCTTAGAATATCTTTCACTGTCTGGTAATTGAGACTAGCTGTTTTAATGGGCCCAGCTGAGTAGGATCTCTTCCTGTCTTATACCTGATGGTGGAATAACATCCAGTTTCTGAAGTATTGTGTTTGAAAAACTCAGGATGATTGATGAGATCAATAATAATTATCATTTTAATTGTGCATGCAGAATCAGTTTTTTCTATCCAGTTGGAGTAAAAAGGTGCAGAGTTGTGTTTCATACACTTGTGGTGTGAACACTTGATTGTATAGTTTTCTTTAATGTGTTTTATTTCTTATGTTCTTGGTTTGTAATTTATTGCATGTTTTAGAAGTTGTTGTAGAATGCACAGATTGTTAGACTGACCATATATCCATTATATAAGTTTAGGAGACTGTTCCATCTCATACAGGAGAACTGTCTGTCCTATTTTTAATTTATTTTTGCACTCAGTTTATGTTGAACTTGATGTTTCACATTTAACTAGCAAGGTGAATTCTGAAATATTTAATGGTAGCATTTCACAGACTCTCTATCTTGAAGCAGAAGTAACTTGAAGCAAATTCTGGACAGTAGCCAACATTTGTAATGTGTGATAAGTTGTGCCATAGTTCAGGCAGTTATTTGCTGGCTTCTTACCATGGAGGCCCAGGTTTACTTCTGGAGTAGTCAATGTTGGATTTGTCGTGGACAGAGTCGCACTGGGGCAGGATTTTGTTTCCTCTCACTTCTAGTTTCCCTTGTCACTTAAACCATCATGCTCAACTATCATGAAGGAATGGTACTTTAGGCCCATTTAAGGCTGCAGTACCACACCAATTCTCAAAATTTATATCTGTGTATCACCCTCCCCCCAGTTAATGTTTATATGAAGAAAGAATTCAGGTGTCTATCCAGAAATTATTTGTCATATACCATTGCATGAATTCAGCCAGCTATAGAGTGTTAGCTTCGACAATGTGAACTTAAAAACTCTTAATTATTTAAAAGTTTTATTTTCTCATATTTCAAGAAACGTTAACAAAATAATGCATATATGGTCTAATTTTAGTAACCTAAGAGCATTTTATTTGCCTTGAATCAAAATAAAATGCTGGTCAGGAATGGTCCTGTTCTTATGCACTCTCTTCATGAATAGCAATGTTTGATGTTTCAGCATCACTTGAATTCCTTGAGCACATATCGAAGTCCACAGCCCCTCTGTAGGCCTAGTCCTCAGACTTCCCCTGGCTTGATAGTACAGGTCAGTAATAAGTATAATAATGAAGCATACTGTAAAGGTAAGGAACTCTGCTTTTTACTGGCATCCACTGTAAGGTATTGAAAGAATTAGAGCTCCTCAGTACTATGTTCCTTTATTTGAAATGCTGCTAAAATAGGCATACTTATTTGGGAATGGTATTAAAATGTATGAGGGAGGAATAACAACAACAATAATAATTCTAGAAATGATACTTCCTCAAGATCACAAATGATTATCATAAACTGTCATGGAAAATGAATATGCTGTGCTTTATTGAACAGAGAAATAATCACATCAATGAAACTAAACCATAACTAACACTGACATATAACAAGTTAAGACATGACACTGTCAAGAATCATGGAAGAGAAAAAAATCTAATGGAAACTTCTCTACCAACAACAAAAACTAAATAAAAACACTAAGAAAGATAACAGAATTGATACCTCAACCAGAAAAGGTAAGGCAAATATGGCACCAAACAAGTATATGCAGTTCTGGTACTTCTGTTGGAATCATCCATCGTTATCCACACAGCAACATCAGGCATCTGGAATTGTGGAGGAAGATCTACATTCACCTTGTGATAATAAACACCTTCTCTATANTTCCATCCCCACCATTAGCCCGGATAATCGAGAGTTGACTGTACTGAGTTTTAGTGTCATATTATATACAGAAATACTTGCTTCATTGTCAGTCTCATGATATATGTAAATTCAAAGATAATTATAGTTTTCTACTTGTGATGTATAATTATCTTAGAATTATACATATGTTATGAGACTGAAACTTAATAAACTGCAGTCACTATTGTTCACAGAGTTTTAAATTCAGTATCTGAATACAATTAAGCTACTTATATTTTACGTTGAACCACCTAGACAAGGTGAACTAGATAGACAACACGTGATGATTGCTGTATGCTGCCAGAACATGTGTGTGTACTGAAGAACCATATGCATTTATACTCAGTTGCTGTATATGTGATATTTGTAAATATTTATTCCATATTATAAAGCAGTTGGTACATCATGTACCCTTCATGCAGACCCCTTTGTAGTGGGGAATTTCAGTAGTAGTATAGTAGTAGCAGCAGTAGTAGTAATGAAATCAGGATATAGGTGGTAGTGTCCCTCATATTTGGAAATTCCAGGTAGATACTATTTTGACAGAGATTTTCATGATTTTTCTCAATCCCCACAAACAAATACTGGAATGGTATCTAAGATATGCTGTAACACTTCCATATACAATCTCCGACAATTTAATTCATGGAATGGCCGCAGCATGTCACTGGCATGTTCAGTCAGACAAACCCAAGCACGTTTGAACATGTTCCAACTTGTGTTTACATGAGCCACAGACCAAATGAGTTGTTTGTTCCCAAGCAGCAGAGGAAGTAGTACATGTCTTTAGTATACTGTTGGTGGAAAAATTAGTGACAAAAATCTGGAGCAGCCAATAAACATCAAATTTTGTGTGAAGATTGGTAAAAGTGCCAGTGAAATGTTAGCCCTATTAACAGTGGCTTCTGAATATGTTATGAAGTCAGCGAGTGTTTTTTAATGGTGTAGGCAGTTTGAGGAAGGGCAAAAGGATGTGCAAGATGACCCAAGAAGTGGGCAGCCAAAAATGCAAAGGACAGAGGCAAATGTGAACAGAATAAGAACAAATGGTGAATCAACAGTGTTATCTGGAAGTGCTGACAAGGTTACAGGAATCTGTTCTGAAGAAAACACCCAAACTCTGGCCTGACAAGTGGATTCTCCACCATGACATTGTCCCTGCACTTGATGCTTTAAGGGTTCACAAGTTCCTGGCTGAGAAATCCATTACAAAAACGAACCATCCACCTTATTCACCTGACTTAGTCCCCAGCAATTTTTGACTCTTTCCAATATTAGTAAAATGCCCTGAAGGGACAAAGATTTGCTGACATTCCTGACATTCAACACAACATGACATTACTGTGAGGTATTCTGGAAAACACTTCAAAGCTGTTTCTGGCAGTGGCACCATCATCTCACAAACTCCATGGCTTCACAAGGAGAGTATTTTGAAGCTAACAGCAGCCGCTAGTGCACAGGTAAGCAAATTTTGCTTTTACACAGCCATTCCAGGAATTAAATTGTCACACCTTGTACTTTTCTGTTCACCACTCACCATTTTCTCATTGTACAGTTTTATCCACTCTTAATCATACCTGGCTACAGTTTGACACATGTGTAATTTTATTTTATTTTATACTGGGTTGAATAACAGTTGTTTTAACTTGACTTTTATACGGTTGTATATAGCCTTGGATGCTAACACATATTTAAACAGGACAATGACTCACTCAATTCATGTCACAGATTATCCAACCATTTGACATTATATAACATGTGCAGTTGAAAAGCATTGCTATATCAGCATTAGATTTTAAAATTCAACATAGCTGATATATCTGTAAGTTTGTACTTGTTGGATGCCAGTAAGAAGAGTAAAATATAGCCTGCATAATAAGTAACATGTTTTGAATGGCTGTAGGTACATTATGTCAGTCTGTTTCCTGGCAGTGATTTGCATAATGTTACTCTTTCTGTTGTTGCATTACTAATGATGTATACTGGCATTGCAAGAGCTCTGTATTGTGAAGTATGCGGTTACCAGCTGTTTGCATGCAAATGTATTATGGACTTAGTATTTTTTCTGTGTAAATGAAACATAGTTTATGGTATAGCATATGTGTTATTAACCCTTTCCTGGCTTGATGGCCCCAAAGCACCCAGTTCTGAGATTTCCACTTCCCATGAGGCCATCTGAAGGTACCTACAAAATTATAAATCATTTCCTTGGATAGCTGATGAAAACTTTGGTGCTAATACAGTTGAACATGTGTGTTGTATTCCTGTTCCTTGCCACCATTGAATATAGTTTAAAATTTAGTCATGTTAGTGTAAAGTGCTGTAAATTATTTGTCCATATTGCAGTATAATAGAGTGAAAATTGGGGGGGGGGAGTGTGGAAGAAGGTTGAAAGAAATAGTCACTTTATGTCACTTCACTTGTGATTTTTAGAAGATGGCAAGTTAATATTACAGATTATAACTAACTAACTTCATAGAGCTGAGCCCTTCTTGAGAAGCCACTGGTTGTGCAGCTATGTAAGAACTTTCGGGCGTTTAATGGAACCTGAAGGTTCATTTCCGTGTTCACAAGAGCCCTCCATTGGTCCCTTTCATGAATCAGGTCAATCCAGTCCATACTAATCCATTGCATCTGAGATCTGTTTTAATATTATCCACCCAACTATGTATTTATCTTTCTAGTGGTCTCTTTCCTTCTGGCTTTCCCACCAGTGTCCCACATGCATTCCAGCTCTATCCATTTGTGATACATGCCCTGCCCATCTCATCCTCCTTGACTTGATCATTCAAATTATACTTGGTGAAGAGTACAAGTTATGAAGCTCCTTGTTACGCCGTGGTGGCAGGGGGCGTGGAGGTAAATCCCCACCGCTGCCACCACTGTTACGTCGTCGCTTGGCAGGGGGCGTGGAGGTATCCCACCGCTGCCACCACTGTTATGGCGTGAAGGGGGGGTGGAGGTACCTCCACAGCTTCCGCCACTGTACCTCTCTTAAGCCACCGCTACACCTCTCTTATGCCGTGGTGACAGAGGGCGTGGAAATATCCCGCTCTGTCACCCTGTTTAGTATGCTGCCACCATCTTGTTATTTTCAAGAAATCTAGTAAACTTATCATAGCTTGCGTCACTGTCCTGGCTTAACTTGTAATTCACTGGAGCGTTATGAGGTCCTGGAGTCGTCAAGGAAGAGGGTAACACTTAAGGAATTGCTAGGTTAAAGTAAACTCACACGCATGTCTATTCTATTCTATTTCTCTATGTCACTATATACATCTATATGCACTCTTACCGACGTTCGTCGGTTGTACTACACTGGATAATGAACCTGCAGTCATCATTGGTTCTACCTCCTGTCACCCTACTGGCGGGTATTCTACGCCTCGGTATCTTGAATGAACCTAGTCAATCAAGTTAGCCTATCTTTCCCTGTGGTTTTACCTTTACAATTATCACTGTTACACTTAATGTTCGTGGCTATATGAAGTTGGTTTCACTTACTTGAGATGAGGAAACTGATGCTCGCCATCACCAACCAGCGCACACTCACGGCCATCGCTCTCTCGGCGATAGCCTCCCCCTGAACTCTAAGTTACTTAATATCAATCAAAAGTCTAAAGGCAAAAGGTTTTCTGATTAAGTCTTCTAGGGTTTATATAACCTCTCTTTGCTGATTCTTTGAGTTCCGGGTAGGTTGCCTGCCCATTCTGACGTGATTTTGGCCTCCCTCATTGGTTGCCCATCGAGAAGGGGTTGACTCTTTCGGGTCTACCGCCTCCTCTGACTCAGCGTTTTCCTCCTGCCATAGTGTTTATGACCCACTTCATATAGCTCCTTCCTCAATGTCAGCGCTATTACACTGCCGGGTTAGCATTCTAATGACTCAGGCATTCCCTGTTACAATTCTTTGTAGACCTAAGCTTCCTGGGTCGTTTCATCATGGCTATTTCTTAATCTTACAGTCTAGCTACTATTATTCCAATTTTACCCCAAAAAAACTATATCTACAAGTACGTGACCTTTGCGCCGTTACACTCCTCATTATGCAGTTCTCTCCAGTCTCTTATCACTTCATCACCCTTCAGCCCAAATATTCTCCTCTGCACCCTGTTCTCAAACACACACAGTCTGTGTTCATCCCTTCATGTCAGAGACCAAGTTTCACACCCATACAAAACCACAGGCAAAATTATAGTTTTGTATATTCGAATATATTGAATAAGCAATCTCAGACAGCCAACAAGGGAGTGATCCTCCAGCCTGGGGGTTGGGCTTGGGGCTAACAACTCCTCACCACAAAAGTAAGCTTGTTGTGAAATATCATATTGCATATTGTTTTTAGAAATAGTTTGTTAAAGGTACGTGCCATTTTTGTATGTTTACTCAGATTAAATTTGTATGTATGTAGTGTTTACTTTATTGTATTACTAAACATCTTTCCCCCACTGTTACCATTGCTGAACTATAAACAAGACTGAAAAAGTGTAATCCACACCAGAATGTGTGGAATTTCCATATGTGCTCTTTGCACATTTTTGTGAAGTGTTAACATCTTTCTGCATCACCAAATTTTCTTCAGATTTTCAGAGTTTCATTGTCTGTATTTGCACAGTTGTATGGCACTTTCACATCTTTCTTCATTGTGTGAACAAAATATTCTAAAGTAAGATTTGAGATCCTCATGCCAGTGGCTATGGAGAATACTGTCTTCTGGAATGTGGCACGTCTTATTGTAGGGGCAGCACATTACTCCAAAAGATTGGAAAACATCTACAGAACTACAATCAGTAATATCCCAGAAGACAGGATTCTTCAAAATACATTAATGTTCATTTTATAATCCATAATAAAGCAGTGGGTGTGTATTTAATGTTGTGTATTTTATTTCAGGGTTCTCTTGTTTACCGAAGTGGAAGCCCTGGTGATACAAGTCATAGTGGCCCACAGAGTCCTGTTTCTCCAGCAAGTTCCCCAGGCATAGGGCCCAGTACAAGTCCATTCTCAGACCACACTAGCTACTTCATTAGCCAGGCACAGGCAAACGCTCTTCAGCAGCATTTCGAACAGTTCAGTATGGTAAGTTAGTTGTGGTGTCTTTTCTTCTAGTAGTTATATCACATTCAGACCCAGACATGTGAAACTTGTACAGTTCCTGTAGTTCAGTCATTTTGCAAATACTAGAACAGCATCTTGGATCTGCACTGTAATTAAATTGTGGGTAGCTCAGTGTCCTTTGTTGGGGGGGGGGAAGCATCTCCATGGTATCCAGAATACAGTATACTGTTTACCGTAGCGGTCTCACGAAAGAAACAGCATCAAAATTACAGTTTCAGTATCAGGGTGTTATTAGTAACTTTAAAGGAGATGATTTTCTCTCATAATGGTAATTTGAGATTAGAGATTTTTACAGTAGTGAAGATTTCTCAGTTGTGGTCTTGTACATTATGACACCATGCAGTTTGATTGGTGATTACCAGTGTCTCAGAGAACTTTTACACCCCTGAAGATGGTGTAACTGCTCTTCCCTTTTCACCTTTGAACTTACACCACTCGTTGGTCGCCCCTTATAACTGCTTCTTCCCACGGGTGAGCTGATGCCACACATTGGGAACCACTAGTGAATGTTCTTATGCCCGACATCTGATGTCACTTTTATAGCCATTCCTTTTCCTGTGATGCTGCTCACCTTCACCATATTCCAGGACACCTTTGCTGTTGTTGCACTGCACTCCTTCTTGCCTCATGGATGTCGAGGAGTTAGGTGAGAAGGAAGGAGGGTAGTGATTGTTGTTGCTAGTCCAAAGTTCTCTTTACCTACAATCAGGTGTTGAGCAAGCAGGGAAAAGTTGGGAGTAGCTGCTGGGTTCTGCTCAGTAAGGTTCGAGATGAGTGCTCCTCTAGGGTCTTATGGGCCTGGCTTGGGCAGAGCAGGAAGATTCTTGTGCTACAGTCATGTACACTACTTCAAGACTACCTATAATTTATTAACTTCTAATAACTGAACACTGTATTTAATGGAACCCAAAAGTTTCTCACACTTTGAATTTGAAATTTCTACAGCTTATAACTGTAGAATTAGTAATTTAGATGAAGTGACATATTTTTGTTTCTGACTTAGTCGAAAGTTGGACAAAGACTCTCAAGGGAGAGTGAACTCTCTGGAATCCTGAGGTCCACGAACCACAGCATGCAAGAGAAATCCATTCCTCCAAACAACATGTACTATTGGTCTAATTTGAAAACTAGGAGGTTTCCTGAATTAGTGAATTTCCAGTCATTATGCTTTGCTATGTGATTCTGGCAGTTACTGACCTAACGCTAAAATTGACAGCGGCTATATGTATTAAGATCAGTGGAAGAGGCTCAGGCACTCCCTCTTCTAAGTTACAGCCATTCCAAGCTGTCAACTCTCAAATTCTCAAAGGCCTTCCAACTCTGCTGAAACTACTGAAATTCCAGGAAATGTACCAGATGTTACTTCCTGTCCACATAGCAAAACTTGAACTATGTCACTTCCGAGTGTAAGAAGGTGGCTATCTGCCAGATCTTTATTTAGATTATGTGGCCTTAACTTAATACAATTTTAATTAATATGAAAGAGCCTGGTAAACTATGATGAACAATTACAGTGGATGTAGCAGGTTCTGCCAGAAAGTTGGTATTCACATACCAGAGTGCATGTATTGTAGCCAGAAGAGCACACAAATTTCAGAATGGTACTTTATAAAATATATTTAGCAGGCATTATAATATTATATTTACCCAAATGGAAATTGTTTATAGGCTGTCTTTAATTTTAAGCCAGTAATTGCTTTAGTCAGTCTTGTTTCCAAACTTGGAAGTTATGGTAAATTCAAACACACCATCTCTTACCGAATTTGCAAACCGTTAAATTTGTAACTTCTTCAGAACCTGACATAAAATAGATTGGCATGCAGACATGCATATTTTGTGGGTCTGGATGGAAGTTATGTCAGTGTACTATCACAAATCGTTTTCGTTGACATTCTTTTTAAGATAATATTGAATGCGTGGGATGGTTGCCAGACATCACTGACCACACTGCAAATGACTCACAAGCTGCCATTCTATTTATGTCTTATACTTGAAGCTCTCTTATATTCATGATATTACAGAGTATTAGATTGAGATGTAAACATACTACATAGAACTGTCCATTATCCACAGTGATAGAGGGGAGAAGTGGTGCAGAAAATGAAAAACAACAGATAATCTAAAGAAGTAGAAATACCATTACCCATGCTGAATTCCATGCAGAAAATCAATTACTGCTTGAAACACTCCTTGTGATTTGCATTTTATAGCTGTTTTCACAATGTCTGGGAACCTCCTTGCACTTGTATATATTACACATCACATTTATCAGAAGTATATATAAAAACAAAAATAAACAGAGGTTGGTGTACTTGTACTTGAAAGTAATATGTTTTATTATCAAAACTACATGCATTTTCTGCCATTTTTATAACAAATGCAGAATAAAATAGAATGGGTTAAATAACACTCCACTGACTAAACGTGAGGAAGGCTGTATTGCTAACATCTGAAATTAAGTACAGTGTATGTAACAGTTCTGTTTAATCAAGTACAGTATGAAATCAGATGGCTTCTGTGTGAAGTTCAAACCTATAACGAACAGTAAACTGTGGAGTCTACTGAATATATTAGGTGTAAGTAAAGATGACATTCACACTAAAGCCATTAGTAACATGAAACAGGCAACTAGCAACAAGTGATGTGTGTCAATGATATGCAGTAGCATTTTCAGTGAAGCAAACAGTTACATCAGTGGATGGGTATGAGCATGGAGCAGTGGCGTGCCGTGCATGGAAGCAAGGGAAGCATTGCTTCCGTAGTTAAGAAACAAAAAGAAAAGTCATACATAAATAATTCAATTTGAATAATAAGGATTTGAATATTGTCATTTAGTGTGCATTCCTGCTCAAGGCCACATGCTTCCTCCTCCTCCCTTCCCTTTCTTGGTGGGACGGACCAGGTTTTCTTTGTTATTCTCCATAAGAATTCGTCGCACACGAAGTGGGCAAGGGAGCAACTTTCGGTTTTCTGGCTAATGCCTGTGATATGGAAGCGAAGGCCTGTGTTCTTTCAATGGTTATGTGAAAATTAACTGTTTATGTGTGATTTCAGTCTTGTTGGGTGTTATAGGTAACCTTAAGTTTTATTAAAATATTGTAAGTGTATATTTATATGGTGTAAGATTGTATTTGTGATCGTATTTGGACGCACCAGAAAGAAGCTGTCTGCGTTCAAGGGAAGCAAATGCAGTATTGCGGTACAGGGGCAGGGGCATGATTAGACTACACGCACAGGCCACAGCTAAAATGAATGCTGGCAGACAACGAGACTGCGACTGTGCAATCAAAAGCCTTTTAAAACCGGGGGTTTAATAGCAGGGACTTTTCTGAAAAGAAAATAATGATAGAAAGAGGACGACCGACGTGAGAGGTGCTAGAACTTAAAGCACAAACCAAATTATGTGTGAGGAAATTTAATTTGGAATAGTATTCTAAAACAGAGTGGCTATCCGGTTGCCGTAATATAGGAAAATTGTTTTGTTGGCCATGCCTATTGTTTCTCAAGGAAAAAATGTATGGAACAAGACTGGGTTTGGTGATATCAACAAACTTTATATAGCATTGAAACGACATGAGAACTCTCAGACTCACATTATTTCAACAGTGCAACTTGTTATGTTCGGGAAATCTCAAATTGACTGTCAGCTTGACACTCAAAAGCGCCTGACGATACTACATAGAGAAATAATGAAATGCTTGATTGATATCATCTGCCATTATGAAAGTGGCAACTTGGCCTCCGTGGTCATGACGAAAGCATGGATTCTATCAACCGAGGTAATTATATGGAATTAGTTCACTTGTTGAGGAAATATGATCATAAACTCAACGTTCACCTTGAGAACAGTACAGTATTTACAGGTTTATCGAACAGAATACAAAACGACCTTATTGACTCAATAAGTCACGTAAATTTTGGTGAGTTGATTGCTATCAGTTCGTTTATTAGATACCACTGTTTCCCTTACCAAAAATAGTACCGCATGCCACTGGCATGGAGCCATTTCAGGTACAGTGTACATGCGCTACCTCCAGGCTGTAGCTGACCAGCCTGTCCTCAAATCTAGTTAGCTGCCTCTCTACCCTACTAGCCAACTGGCCTCTCAAAAGGGTCACTATGGACTGGGAGACCTTTCAAGATACAGGATTGAAGAACAGGGTGTGCAGCACTTAGTTTAGCACATTTGCACTGGTTGCTGCCACTATACAGTCTCTGTGAGTAAAGTATGTCTTCAGGGAGGGGGTACTGGAATAAAACTCGAAACACAAGGGTATGTCTATTTACATTATTGTTAATATCTTACAGTATTTACAAATGTGCGTCTGAAGTATGTTGAACTTGTTAATTCCATCCTGTTCATCCTACACATCCTAGGTCAGACCATACTCATACTCTCTGGCTATCTGATTACACATTGTGGTTACACTTAACTCAGTAAGGCTGGTGAGGGTGCTCTGCTGATTGCATGATGTTGTTAGATCGGGCCCTACTCATACTCTCTGGCTTTGTGATTACACAGTGTGGATACACTTACTCAGTAAGGCTGTGCAGCTACTCTGCTGATCCCATGGTGTTGTTAGATCGGGCCCTACTCATACTCTCTGGCTGTGATTACACAGTGTGGATACACTTACTCAGTAAGGCTGTGCAGCTACTCTGCTGATCCCATGGTGTTGTTAGATCGGGCCCTACTCATACTCTCTGGCTGTGATTACACAGTGTGGATACACTTACTCAGTATAGCTGTGCAGCTGCTCTGCTGATCCCATGGTGTTGCTAGGTCAGGCCCTACTCATACTCTGGCTGTCTGATTACACTGTGGATACACTTACTCAGTATAGCTGTGCAGCTGCTCTGCCGATCCCATGGTGTTGTTAGATCGGGCCCTACTCATACTCTCTGGCTATGTGATTACACAGTGTGGATACTCTTACTCAGTAAGGCTGGTGCAACTGCTC